TAACGAAAATTCCGTGAAGCGCTTGTGCAAAAATAACCAGCGCTAGATTCAGAAAAATCCATGAATACCTAAGGATCCGAGATCATGAGAGATAAGCACTTGATATTCGTGTTGCTTTAATGATATTTTTGCTCGCGAGATATCTCATTGCAATTAGCAAGATTATTGATTATCTCGGATAAGTATCTTGCTTTTAGAATATCGGCAGAAATATACCAAAACAATCGCGAGGTGCGTGATATTGCGACGCACAAAAATTGCGTCCTCTTTCCTAAAGGAGAAAATAAAGCTAAAGGGAAAGATAATAACTGTCCGGAAAAATAAGTGTTCATTTGAGTATTGCAACCTTAACATGTGTTTAAATCTTGAAAATAATTATTTTCCGTTGACTTTGTATCGCTGAAGAGAATCCAGGTATTCAGGGCTTTGCTAAATTACTTATTTTTCCCTAATCTGTGGTGATCAAAGACGTGCGAAAAAAGGATTTTATATATATATATATATATATATATATATATATATATATATATATATATATATATATATAGAAAGAGTGCGCTTCAGAGAACCATTCGTTTATCCTGTTTCAATATCAGACGGGCGAAAAATCGGATAAAAGGACTTTACGTTCACGAGAACATTCCTATTCGTTCTGCGAAACCCCGCTGCTATTCGATATCAAACCGTGACACAAGGCGGATAATATCATTACCGCGACCTTGTTTTCCCTGATTGGATTGCCTTCGCGTTCGCATGTATATCGATACTCTATTCGATATATATTAGAATTACCAGAGCAGAGTATCGAACGCCCGATGGTATCCCGCAGCTTTTACCTTCCACCAGTTGCTCCTCTCATTCCGCATTAAAATGATAACTTTAAATGTAGCTCTCCGGTAAATCGAAGCTTCCCCCGCAAATGGGTTTTTCGGATATTTTCCCATTTGCGTAACATTGCTCCCACACATTGTTTCTCATCATAATCCTATTCAGTAATCTGCTCTCCGCTGAACGATATCATGACGACCGTCACATTTGATTTCCATAAGAAAACATTACATTTGCGCACCTACACGTGCGGTTTCGCGCGTGACTCTACGGTACGCACTTTCGAGAATCGCACGACGGCAGAAAAACGGTGCAACCGGATCTGAAGCACCCGCGTCACGCGTTCCCTCAACGAGACCTCCTAAGCATGAACCAAAGTGCATTGTGTACGACCACCGGTGTCCCGTGGTCGCTAAAATCTTTCTTGTGTTCGCTTATTATTCATGTTAGCACACGCTTCGTCGGGGATTTACAATGTTTGCGCGTCGTGGCGTAGGTCGAGCATCGTTACCGGGCATCATGCTCCGCGCGCGGTGGGCGCCGATCGGCCGCCGTTCCGCGGAAAGCCGCGTCCTGGGACTTCTCGCGAGACGTATAAATGCTAATTTTCGAGTGGCGACAAAACACCACTGTCTTCTCATACGCGGGAAAGGCATAAAGTGTCTAATTTTAGCGCTGCATCACTGACACGCGCGCAATCGAGCGCGATATCGGGGTCGCGGGGAGGATGAAAATCGAATATTAAAGTCTCGGGAAGAAAATCGGAGGGAAAGCGGCGCGACTATCGCCGCGCAAAGAGGAATGATTGATCTAACTAAAGTTATAGGGAGAGAGAATTATTTTCGAGCCTGATCATAGTTTTTGGTTGTTGCGACACGAAGTAATAGTAGTAACATGCGTACAAGGTTGTCTCTAATATCAGAGTAGAATTTAATACAAATGTTTCAGTATAATTTTTAGTAATCGTTCCTCGTGGTTATAGTTACGACATTGTTTTCTCAGTGTACTCTCTATCGACCCGTTCTCAAAATTTATCGGGTCCATTCGGTGGTGCAAGGTGCGCGAGAGTCGCCCACCCATTACTGGGAAACACGATAAAAGCCAACGAGTTGTGAAAGGTCCCAGGAGACCACGCGGCTCGCGACCATACGGCGCAACGAACGCTGTCACTCACGCCTGGTAAGGGGATAATTCCCTGCAATTCAGACTGACTTGTACACGGCGCGAAATGAACGACCCACGTGTACGCGTTACGCCGCCCCGCACGCGTTCGCTCGTCCGCCCGCGCTCCTTTCCCCGCGAACAAAATGTCGAAAATGCAATCCGCTGATTATAGGGATCGCGAGAGCGCGGCAGAATAAAACGGAATGATAATAATGGCCGCCCGCGAGGTCTACCGTATGATCACGCGGGACAAAGGCGCGCACCGTGCGATTGGGAATCATCGATTTGTCACTGATAGGGAAAGGCCTTAATCGGTTCGCAAGGATTGATTGAGTGTCAAGTACGGCGACTTCAGCTACGAGAGCTTGGGCGGGGAGGAAGGGCGCGAAGAATGAGAGGTGAGAAAAAAGAGAATAACGGAGTCTGTCAAATCGTGGCTTAATCGCGCGGGGCTCATCCGAAAAGCATTTTAATTGCGCGTCCCTCTTATCTGAAATATGTCGCGTTATCCCGGACGTATCGTTTGATTTTGCGACTGACAGCTCGCCGCTTGCCGATAATCAGCCAAGTGGTGGATAAAGTGGCGGAAATCCATGACCGTTTACGCAACCGGAGCTAGGGACGAGCTCTCTCGCGTTTCATAGCTGTTATGTGTTCCCACACCGACACCAGATTTCGATCTGGAGTGTATACCGAAGGGCGATCTATCGGCCGATGTGCCGTCGACGGAATTGAAAACTATTCGCGCACGTATCTGACAGGCAGATCACTGATAAGTCCAAGTGTCTCTATTGACAATTCGAAAGTCCAATCAATATATTTTTCTTTGGATCGCTCGCGATTTCGTCGATGCTTCGCTCAACGTCCCAAAAATCCTCGCGCTTCGAAAAATCAACAGACTCGAGCAGGCGTCGCTTGATTCATGCGTTGCTTCTCCCCAGTCCCTGTGTTTAAAAAAAGAATAACGCGCCCCGTAAATCCTCCCGTAGAATATCAGTTACATAAGAGTACCCGGTGATGACGGATATAAAATCATTGACGCAACACGATATAATCTACAAAAAAAGGGTCCATATACATGCAAAGTAGGAGGACGAGAAAATGCGCGAAATAAAGAGCTCGAGACGAGGAGAAGAATACCGAATTGGACGCGCACAAAAGCCGCAAACGGCGCGTGAAATCACGCGGGAATTCCCCTACCTAACGTGAGAAACCGTTGGCTTAAAAGGGTACGGCTTTTCGTTAACCGACTGCAAATCGTGTCAAGGCCCCTCCGGTCACACTCATCCGCATGGGGTTACTGGTCCGACGTGGCGGAGGGTTGCGTGCTCGCGGTCGGTTGAGTACCGCTGCCGCGGGACCGTTATGCACCAGCAGCAGTGCAAATAAATTAAAAGCGATACCTCAAGATGGTAGCCGAGCTTTCCTCCTTTAAATGCCCAACATACCAAAACGGAGATGCAATTCCACCGGAAGATGTATCGAGACGATTACAATGCAAATCCCCGTCGGAAAAATGGCCAGTTCGGTATGCGGAGGGAAAAAGGGAGCCTCTCCTCTCCGCGAGGCCTTCTCCCTTAAACTATCCCAGTAGCACACTGCGCTCGTAACGGACGTACCGTTATACAAGCACCTTCGTACGGCCGCGAGGTACGACTTGTCTCTCGTCGTGTTTGATCATAACTGCGTTTTAAGATCGAGACAAAATCCACGTCGCTGCTTTACCGTCCACTGTCGCCCCCGTCGAAAATCTAGGTCCCAACGCGTCTCGGGACGGACTTTCTCGACCAGTGCCTCTTCTTTATTTGTCGAGTCAAACAATGTCAAACGAGACTGTGCATTTGAAATGCAGTAAGTACACCTTAAACACTGGCGATTTTCGTTCAAACCAAGTCTTTTGGTCTCGCGTTTCAGCTTTAGTCTTACGTACTGCTATTATCATAAGTATTGCGGTCGAAGGAACGATCTCAAGCAAACACATGCATTTAGTCTGAACGAAATCAAGTAACAATCTCGGATTGCGTGGATAGTGACGAGCAATAAACGACGAACTGTAAACTGCAACCTGTGAGTTGTAAAAAAATGAGACTAAGGAAGAACTTGCTTATTAAAAAGGAATAAATTAGATTATTACAACGTTTGACGTCACTGCTGAGACGCACAATATCGTTTGGTAGCAGAACGTCAGCGTATAGTGAATTAACGAATTATCGTGAATTACGGACTGCGTGTACATTGAACATCATCTCGCAGACGCGTTTCACCGTTCGCCGTTTATCCCGTTCATCGCCGGAGTGTACGCGGGCTGTACGCGCCGACGCGTCGCGGCGGTCCCGTGTGTCGTGGAACTTACATTTGGTTCCGCGTTAGACGACGTGGATTGACGAGATCGTGAAGGGACCGCGTGATCCGAAGCGGACGTCATCCCAGTATTCGTGTACGAGTAACCTTTGTCAGCTCGGAGCCAAGATCATTCACCACCACGTCGTCGTCGTCGCGCGCGCACTACTAGCTCTCTCGACCACAGATACACCACCACCACCACCACCACTAAGAACAACCACGCAGCAGCAACAATAATAACAACAACAGCAACAATGCCAGCCACAACAACGCAGCTACGTAGCACCAACACGGTCAGCACGACCACCCGCGCGGGGGAGGGACCGCAAAAATAACGGGGAGTGAATTCGTGTCGCGCCCAGAAGGGAAGAGCACGCGCGCCCGGTCGCGCGCGCGCGCGCCTACGATCCTGGATTTGCGAGGACGCTAAGTGTCTGAGTAACGTGGCGGGGATGCTGAGATCGTCCTTCTACCCGACCCCCTCGGAATCATCTTAACTCGGTCGGATCGCACACGACTCGATCGAGATAGACGAGGCACGGGCCTCTTTGTGGTTATCCGATGGGGCGGTAACGGAAGAACGATTGCGCCCTTTTCAGCGTTCTTGCGACTCTCCCTCTCCCGCTTTTCTCTTTTGCTTTTTGGTGCTTACTAAAGAGACTCACGTGATAAGAATGAGACGCATCCAGGCGCGTTTGCGTCAGCAGCGTCGACGCATTGCGTCGGGCTGGCCTCTGGAGCAGCTTTTAAAATCCTCGCTCCTATCGAACGACGCCGCTGATCCTTTAACACTTTGTCCCCCTCGTGCTTCCAAACACACTGGTATATCCCTCTGAGGCTGAACGACACCACTCGATCATCCACACACAGTCGCATGCACACTTTTTGCGTTGACTTCTCTCTCTCTCTCTTTTTCTTCCTCTCCCTCCCCCTTTTCCTCTCTTTCTTTTTCTCTAGCTCGTGAGAGAAGCGTGAACCGGAATAACAAGTAAACTCCGAATCTAAGCGCTCATCGTCACGTTGCACTACCGTTGCGTCTACGTTCGCACTGTTCGCCGTGCTGCTCGGGTACCGGCACTATCGGGTAGCGAGTTACTCCGGAGCGTGACAGCTACGCGTACGTGCACCTACGACGAATTCCACGCATCGGAGCAACACACAATCCAGGATATCCTATGTTCCCCTGACGACTCCACTCGACCATGCGCGGTCGCTTTTCGCTTGGTTTTCGGCGCGAAAACCCTTAGCCGGTGCGATTCCACCCCCGACGAGCGGTGGCGGCGGCGGCGGCGACGACGGCAGCGCGCGCGCGCGCGATCGTGTCCTCGAAACCGGGAGACAGTGATAGCACACCGTGGTAACAACGTAACCAATTCGTCACCACTCTGTAGCAGGCTTGGAAATATGCCAGTATTCCATCGTCACACGAGGAGTCGCGGCGCTTCGTGGGCAGCAGTTGGCGGGGGTGGAGATGAGCGGGAAAATACCGGCTCCACGAGGCACCGGGAGAAACGCGGTGTTTTTCTCTTTCTTTCTCTCTCTCTCTCTTTCTCTCTCTCTCGCCGTGGACAACGACCAACTCTCTGAGGAGATCGCACCCTCGTCCGCACTGAGGGAGAGAGGGAAAGGAGCCGGTGGTGACGCGAGACCGTCTGCCTCTCGCTACGGGGGATGCAACTCGCGGAGGTGATCTTCGCGGCGGCACGACAGATGCGCGACAGTGGCACACGACGTAGCGACAGCAACGCGACAATATGACCGTGCACGCGTAGCGCGACAGTACACAACAGAACGGTGCCGCTGCTGGCCGTGAAAGTCCCGTCTGCTCCGAGGCGCGCAAGTCAGCCCCACTAGTGTTCGCTCGTCTCTTACCTGGCTGCTGCCTTGCCGCCGCCGCTCGCCTAGAGAGTATCCCCACCCCTCTCGTGCCACCCCTCCACTCGTATCGTACACGAGGTTGCCCCTCCATCGACGTGTTTCCTTCCCCTCCTCTTCCAGCTCTCCTCTTACCCCTCCCGCGACGTGCACTCCTGGAGAACGAACGAACGAACGCCCCCGCCTGCCGCGCGCAACCCTACTTCTGCCTCACGCACTCGCGATATACTCTCTTTTATAGTGAAATCATGTGGAAAGGCGTCGTCACCTGGTCGAGAGCGGATCGACAGCGATTTCTCGCGGCGACACGTGGCGAGAGCAACCCTTAACGCGCGTCGCCGGCTGCAACCCTACGAATAGCACCGCGCGCGACGTAACCTCCCTGCCTTAGGCCGGAGCTTCGAGCGAACGATCACCTGTTAGGACGAATCTCCCTCTCTGGAGATCCTGTCCATGTGGGACGTCCGGAGCATCGTCTATTGGCTAGCTTCTCTCTTTCGGTAGACTTTGGGGTTGTATCTGGGTAAGAGAGAATATGTGTGTGATTTCTTCTTAAGACTCGAAAGTTAAGCTTCGGAACGCGCGGTAGACGTTTGGAGAAGAACGCGAGAGGACGCGGTGACGCGCGGATCGAAGGCAAATATCGTCGTATGCATCGCATTTCTTCATCTTTGGAATGTTCTTCCTGAAATGGCTGGGCTCTCTCTCTCTCTCTCTCTCTCTCTTTCTCTCTCTCACGCTCAAGAGAGACGCTCTCCACGCTCTCTCCCGCGGAATATTCTCGCCGGAACGCGCGTCAGTTTCTCCGCAGCTGGTGTATCGCCGGCCGAACGGCCGTTTCGCACACTCGCATTTTTGAACCATCACGCAACACTCGGCGCACACACAATAACTTAAAGGTCACTTTATAACAGCTGGACAATCCGCGAATCGAAAGTGTGCACGCATCAATAGCAGTGACGCGAGAGATTGAGAGAGAAAGAGAGAGAGAGAGAGAGAGAGAGAGAAAGAGAGAGAGAGAGAGAGGAGATGGTCTCGCGACGCGCCATCGGCAGGCGTGTCGGCGCGACTTGTGCACGCTCGCGGCGGCGTGCGCGTCATTCGCGCGCGATTTATTTATCTCTTTTTATTACTTTCATTTCGCCGCCGAGATGTGTGACGACGGCCAGGCGGTATATAAATTACGGCACAAGGCGTATCGGCTGTGGTATTCCGCCGCACTGACTCGTACGTGTCCGGTGACAGTGACGAGCGGGCGGTTGCGCAATCCCCTCGCGAACCGAGAGTCCGTGGAAGGTTTGTTTTTCTAAGTGAGTCAACGGCACGATTATATTTTAATATATTTCGATGAATGTGTCGAGAGAGTCAGAGAGAAAGAGAGAGAAGTTGCACCATTCACAACGAGCCACTCAAGGACTCCTCGCGAGCGCGCGCGGAACACGTGCGAATTTCGCGTCGTCGTCCGCCCGCAGCGAACACATCCGAGATGCCAGTAGCAACGGCGACGGCGGGACGAAGACGAGCGGAGAACGGGGAGAGAAAGAGAGAGAGAGAGAGAGAGAGAGAGAGGGGAGAGAAAGAGAGAGAAAAATTCGCGACGCGGCTCTCCCGGAGTGTCCGCGACGCGAGAGAGAGAACGAGGTACTGATGACGGCACGCTGCCGCGGCATCACGGACGACCGGTGGTCGCCTAACGCAACGAGATAATTAATTATCAATCGAGCCGCCGATTATTGCTGACCGATCGCGACCGCTCGCGCGGGCTCGCGCGATTCCGTCCGCTGTCGCGGTGTCACGTCGCCCTCACATTGATAGCGACATGGAGGAATTAACGTTCGCCAAACGAGTACGCGTTCCTGAGCTCTGCTTGCGTTGCACTATTAAATGCGTGTTCAACGTGCCTTCGATATCCGAGATGATGCCCGGCGGCGTGTGGATAGCCGCGATAGTGCCTGCATTTGTGGGACGTTACGCGCGACAGCCATCAACGGTGTCGTGATAACCGCGGCGAATTAAGCTGCAGGGGTGCGAGCGATACAATCTTGTTCTAGGATTAATTTTGAGCGGTCGTTACTTCGGCGGCTTTGAAGCCCAATTATTCAGGCTATCGTGTCTCGAGAGTCCGAGGTTAACGCAAACAGCGCGATCCCTCTTTCCACGATGTGTCCGGCGTTGAGGTTTCGCCGAGAAAGAGAACGCTCGGCCTCTGAATCGTTATCGGGCTACCTTAATTAGATTCACCCGCGCCTGACGATTAACCGATAAACGAAAGAGCCATTTTTGACGTCGCCATCTTACGTCTCACGGAATTCAGACCGCCGGTCCTTCTCACGGGCGTTCTTAAATTTCCCTCTACACGTCGCCGAATGTTGCTCCGAACGACCTAATTCATCGAACGCCGACGGGATATCGCGCACGTGGGAGAATGTCGGCGCCCTTTTAGGGCCGTATCTTTTTAGGGGCAGCGACCCTTCGAGCCTCCAGGCTCGCACTCCGAGTCCCATTTCACGCGCGTAACACGCGCGAGCCACTTGCGCGCTCGCATTTACCAGATCTTCGTACACATACGTTTCTCTCTCTCTTTTTCTTTTTTTCTCTCTCTCTTTCTTTCGCTCTAATCTCATGATTATCTCAAGGTTCCTCACCACTTGCAGCGAACGAGAAGATAACAGGCGCACTTGACGATTGTCCGATCCGGTTATATCTCAACGAGCAAATAGACGAAACTTTTGATGCATTATTGTGCCAATTAACGCGCGATGGCAGGCGGACGTGTGCCGAATGAATTTTATCCCGTGCCACCGTATTGACTTGGTCGATAATTGAAGCGTCAAGAGGATTCCTCTTACTTCGGTCGGCTTTGTTAACGATACCACGGACGTGTACGGCCCTGCTGGTCGGTAGATTTGATCGGTACAAAGCGGATCCTACCTATCCGAATTAATCTGTACCATCGGTGTCGGGCTACCTACCCTACATGTCGCATCGTTTAGGGCCCATTCTGAAGGAACCAGCTTCATTGGCAGAAAGAGAAACGAGTGGCGACCTTAGCGGCGGGCAGACGAGGGTGAATTGGGCCGCCCGCTTAATTACCGAGGGCGACAAGTGTCGGTGTCGTGGTACGGACCAAATTCACCAGGTCCCCGGTCCCGGAATACCTGAAGATCGCTGGTGTAAATCATAGAACAATACTGTGCAGGACCTTTGTTCACCGGTCGGGCCGGAAACCTCTCGGAGAGGGATCCTCCTGAGAACGCCTTCGGCTTCCCCCATTCACGTTTCCAAAGGAAGATTACGACGCGCTACTCGACGAAACGTTCGCTCGGCGCCATAAGTACGGATTTACACACGCCGGGTCTTATCACCGATTGGTCCCGCGATAACCGCTCGACCTTCAACAACGCGTAATCGGAATCACGAAGAGGGAGAGAAGGAGAGCGAGAAAGAAAAAACGACGAGCACAGAGAGAGAGAGAGAGAGAGAGAGAGAGAGAGAGAGAGA